CACAACATTCGCTTCTCCCAAGCGCCCTATATGATAAGGTGTACGAAGCAGGAATCAATAACAAACGGATTCAGTCGTCAAGGTGAGTAAAAGTGCTCTCCTGATCGATTGAAGAAAACCCTTCGTGTTTCAGATAACGACTCAACAGTGATGTTTTCCCCTGACTCTACGCCGAGTGTGACATGATTTGGTGTTTAGGTCACATTGTGTCCATCGGAAGTTGACAACTTCATCTCGTTCGCAATACACTTTTGTCTTTTCGCGTTCCCAGTTCCCAATCGGTCTCACTAAGTTCTGTGCCGCTTCCCTTCCTGTACGAATGTCAATAAAAGGACTTGGTGTGACTATAAACAAGAATTTTCCACGAAAATCTCATAATTAATAATGTCCTAGGAGATTCATCAACTCAAATATTTGTATGGTTGACAGTAGTAAGTCACTAACAATTTTTTTAATGGTGTTTCATTCGTTGGACCATATATTTATCTCTCGATATTGTCCCTGATCTGCGCAAAAGTAATTCATGGGTTCTTTAGATAATAAACCGCAGGACGGGTATTTCCATGGGTCAATGACTAGCTAAGATGCTTCAAAGATCATTCGTACCTAGTTATATGCTGACCTGTCCAGATGTCGTTCTCACGTCACTACTCAATCTAAATTAGGATTGCTTCCCGTAATAATTTATTTGTATAGAACCTATCTGGAGTATTATTTAGCTCGCATAGAAGACAGTGGAGACAGGGTCAATAGCGATCAGTGTATAAACCATAGCAAGTCCCATCTTCCCCGATCTAACCGGTTCCGGAAACTCACTTGTGTTCGCTTATCAGAAATATTTTGCATCTTTGTAGCATTTTATACAATAAACTGGCAGGTCAGACTGAAATCGACTTACCTCGAAGTTGATGCCAGTGCTCGGGGATCATGCACAATTCACTGGAACAAGCAGAATCGATAGGAAGACAAAGTAGTCACGGTAGAACACGAGACCAGAAAGCGGAGAGATAAATGATGAGAAAGTGGGTACATAATATTCAAATTCGCGTAATGAAAACACCTACGGAAAGGAACAGAAACCGGTAGCTATTGACATTGTAAAACAGTTAACTAGCGTGTGTGGTCTGTACAGACTGTGTTAGTCAACACCACATTGCCTTTGAGAGCAAAAGTTTGAAAATCGTCATCAACGCCGCGGCCTGCCTTTCCATTTTTCCTGTATCATATGACAGCTCTTGATTGGACACTTCTCCTTCTGCAAAATTTATTGTACAATGTCACTGTATCCCATAGGACAAAGAATAAAAGGAATTGGTTCATAGGAAATCATACACAGCGATAATGTTTTATTTTACAACACACGACTGTGACGAACAGCAGAATGGACAAACCCCATATTCAACAGGATAGATTGTTCATTCATGCTAACCGGTAACGTAAGCCCAAAGACTGAGGAGCACTATTAAACACGAAATCGTATCCTGTGTTCTATGAGACACTCATGAAACTTGGAAAGATAATGTATTATTCGGTAAAAAACAGAACAGATGAGAAAGATTATCCCAGCAGGCAATGCGAACGTCTGCTCACCCGTAAAGCAGTGCGAAGCTGCACATAAGAATCACCGGAAATGACGGAAGTGTGCATCCGAGGCGGATGAATAGTACAGACAGGGGTGGCCTCAGAGCAAAAACCACGGTTAACGAGATCATGTAGCCCGCGAGAATGAGTGCGCGATCACCAAAAATATGACGCATTACTAAAATTCCTGGGGACAAGTGGATAAAACGGAACAGAATAATTTATTGTGACAACGGGGCTTATCACGAGAAAATAATCAAATTCTTCACAGCAATTAGCAGACGATAACCAAACTTACCTTGAACTATCGATATGAGGTGTAAGATGACCACAGGGGTCAAATTCCGTTTGCCTGGCAAATAAACAGGGAATACAACATTAGAAAACTAACCGCTAAATCAAAAGACAAGAAGAATCAACCAGTGCCCCATATTGGCTATATCGTGCAATTCAGGCAGTGCTAGAACAATGCAAATTAAACAAGCTTTCTGGTTGGACTTGGTGAGGGGAACATTTGAGCTCGCCCAATAGCGTGTACCCCGGGGCGAACTCCACTTGGCTGTATTCCATCAATAAGGAATGCATCAGTGGTCTCACCCTGGCAAACCACCTGCCATTAAGGTTGAACCAGATTGAAAATAATCGAAGCGGAAGATAATAGGTAAGGCTACAAAAACAGGCATTTGTTAGTGAGTGACCATGATCAAGTGCCTGATCAAACAGCTATCAAGGAAATCTGTCCAGGCAGTAGAGATGCATAGATTTTTAGTTGTATCCACGTCTATCTTTTGGTGAATGAGCAGTTGGGGAAACACCGACAGCTATGCATCCATACACTGCTGCTTTGCATTTGGTCATAGAAAAGTTGGAAGTGCTCTCTCCCTATCTAGAAAAAGCCGGGTGATCGTTGCACCAAGCTCCCATGAAACATCATAATGATTTTCATGAAGTAATCGGACCGAAAACCAAAATACCAAATGCTCATACATTATATATATATATTATCCCATTGCATACCACGAGATCCGTATAAACCGGTTTCAGAGTCAAAAAATCGGTAATATATGAACAAGAAGAAAAAGCGTCGGGAACAATGCAAACACACTAAAACCTGAACACCTAAGATTGATTAAATATGCTATCAAAAACGTCCAGCGTGCATTCTCTATTCACTGTGCACTACTCATGAAACAAATACTACCAAAAGAACACTACAGGTAGCTTTATATTGTCGCAAACAAAATGTTTCTTCTGGCATTGATCACGTCTGTTCCCGTGCACTTACATCACGTTTCGTTTTCACCATCACTCCATCAAAACAATTAAAACACATTCCATCTTCTGAAACTTAGGTAGTCATACCAATTAATCACTTATTCACTCACCCCGAGTACGGGAAAAACAGACCAGAAATAGGTACACCAGACGCCATATCAGACAAACGACCAAAATGAACGTCAAATTGTCAAAAATCTGGCTCAGAACACTTCCAGAGCAAGTGTACAGCTCGTTCAGTGGATGTCTGTACTTCAAGAAGACAGGCTGTGAACTGTCCATCCAATCATCATCGTCCGTTTCAATCTCATCGGCCACATCCAAATCCCATTCAGGATGCAAATCCAGATCATCCAATTGATCCAAGTCGAATGACATCACGGGCAGAGGTAAGTGCCACACTGTGTGTGGGCAACGCAAGAATACGACTGGGGGTGGTGCTGTAAAGACAAGATACGGAGGGATAAATCTACTTTGTTATCTAAAGGGAAGGTTATCATGGATTGAAAATCGAAACCTCTAGACATTCATAATTCAATGCGTGCCATGACCGTAACTTTAGATATTTCAACTGCCGTATACCGTAGAATTCGCCAACTGATGTTGATATAGTTGCAGTAACCACACCATTTACGCCTGTGCGATACGCCCATTGCAGGACTTATATTTACGGATTTTTTTATTACACATTTATGTGGTGAACAACAGACGGGGCGAAACCTGTAGTCCTAGCACCGGGACTTGAAGTGGCAAACCACATAAGGCCCCACCAGGTTGGACGTGATATTGAATCAGACGACAGTAAAGCTGTCTATCACCAAAGTTGGGTGGCGGGGCTCTAACCACGGACCATAGGGTCCAAAGCACGCCAGTGACAGCGACTAGACCACTGCGCCACAACGGATGGAGAATGTCAACTCGCAAGTGAAATTTTGTTCTCTTGCTTACGAGGAAAATTGGCAGCTCATGAGCCATCAAACTGGAATGCAATATTTTGAAGGAGGAAGGAAAGATAACCTCTATGCTCAACACACAGAGTACGCAATCGAACTCCGCATACATACCGTTTCAAGCATTGTAGCTTAATAGGCTCCAACCAACCAGTTGCATAGTTTTTCAAACCGCAACATGGAAGGCGCATGACACATATTCTAACCAATTTCATTGTGTATTTTTGATGCCTCGTCTCCACGTCATCTGTTGACCTCCAGGAGGTTTCCTTCAGTCGGGAACGGTGACCAATTGAGCGCGGAGCGGCAGACGATAGCGCCGGGTATACGCAATACGTGCCCTAGCCAGCGAAGCCTACTCATCTAAATTCACTGAACTACCAACTTTATCCCTGACAAACTTAAAAACACAAGAAAACTTACCTCCAGATCAGTAACCCGTTCTTTTCAACCCACCTGGGCTAAATTACATAAACATCGATAAACGAAAACTTCTACTAGATAGACACCTACTAGTAGCATATTCAAGGTCTCCAAACTATAAGGCAGGACTGAACGAACGCTAGCACAATATACACGACCTTTCAACTTCAGTGAAACGTCGCGTCTACGCCAAAGGTGTTTCAGTCCTGCGTATGCTGCTCGAGCCTTGGAAATGCGGGCGGTTATCTCCTTGGCTGCACTACCGTCATTGCTCACGCAACTACCTAAGTAGGGAAAGTTATCCACCACAACTAAATCCTGGCCATTTAGTGTCAGAGTGGGAGTAGACGAAACCCAGTACTGCAGCATTACTTTTCACTTTGAAGGTGCAAAGCGCATAGCGAATGTGGCAACAGCATTTCTCAGTTAATAAAGTGCGTTTTGTGCGTCCTCCATATATTCGAACAAACAGAAAACGTCATCGGTACATTCCAAATCGCTTCCAATTGTTTTGGAGACAACTTAGTGCTTTCTAAAGTATTTAGTTTACGACGAAATTGAACAGAAATGGCGAGTTAAGATAAACTCGACGAACGGCCTACTGAATTCGCAATAAACGCTCATTCGAAGAGAGGTATGTGGGTACAGTGACCTTAGTGAGTTCACGTACTTCTCAAATATTGAGAGAAAAACAGTTTGCGGTGTTGTATGCATTCCTTGGGACAACCCTTGGTTTGTCGAAAAATCTTTTAGTGTACCACAAGGAACCGCGCGAATTCGAATCTATGTGCCCGTATTACTACTTAGGTTGATCTAACCTTACCTTGTAAGTCCCAGAAATGCTTTCCGGGCTTTGCATCTTCAATAATGGTTACCATATCAACGCAGCTGAATCAAGTGAGAATGAAGAAGCCTTGTTGTCTATAATCAAAACAAGGCGTGCATATTTCTGTGATCCTTTAACGATTTTTCTAACCATGATCGTCCTTTCGTTCACCACAAACTCTACTAGTTTCATGTAACAGATAGATCAATACAGTGGTCAATTTCATCATGATATCGTGTTGGAGGGACCGTACTTCGACGATCCTAGCTGAAATGCGCAGAACACCCATTCTTAGAATATCTAAATGCTTTTGCTGTATTTAGCGCGTCAGTACACATCACTATGCACGGAACGATAACAGACTGTCTGTGATTGTGTTTGTGCATCAGGGTGAATTTCAAACTAAACTGGAATGTATAAAGATTATCACGTAGTTTCAACTAGTGAAAAAATTCCTTTTTTTCAAGAATCATCATTTCTGTGACACGGAATTTGGAGATCAGCGGAAAATGATTCGATCCATCAAGAGAAGTATTGCAACCAAAAGAGATTTGCTTCAGTCGCTTCACAAGCAGGTTAAGTCTAATAAATGGTGATATTGTTACTTAGTATCGTTGCCGGGCTATTCAAAATGTGGATGAGTTGGATCCAAAGTATAGTGCTGGTGATCATATTTCAAATTCAACTGAAATTAATGATTGAAAGATTAGAATAGTATCAATGGAAATTCGCTGTACCATCGACACAAGAAAAGTTTAGAAACGACATCTGGAAACAATGATCGAATGAACCCATCTTTCCACAAGTGTTGATGACATTAAATTTGCGGCGATTGGTTATGTTCAAACTAAAACCTGTGTGGTATTCTTCACTATCGCTTATTTCCTGAATCTAGCGCACGTTCGGTATATGAGATTTTAAAATTAAAAAGTCAAACAACGGCGTCCATTTTCTTTTCGTTTACTTGGATCGCTTCACAAGAGGCACTAGGCATTAAACTGAGACATTTTTGATTGAGTTCTCTGAAAATATCAAAACGAAAGACCACGAAGTATATGCTCCATAAAAGAGAAAAAGTTACTGCCGTCAATGAACTATCCAAAATAAACAAGAATCTTCAACTATCAGTTAATCACCCCAAATTCTGATACAATTTCCTCCGCTCACGTTTCACTACCAGTCAATGTTATTGTAGTTCAAATTTTGTGATATATATATATATATATATTTAGACCACTCTCATTAGATGAACTTTAGAATTCAATCCGGGAAAATGAGCCACCGCGAGTAGATGAAACTCCGTTCCTAACTTCTGCACTGTCTGTCCGGTAATCCCATTAAAGCAGTCCATTGAGTATGAGACGGTGGGTTGTAGTCAATACTTATCCATCTAAAGGCAAATTCTCGACATTATATTGCACCACCGATAGGGCTGCATCCTTCAAAGATGGCTGAATATTGTAGTGATGTAGGTGTTTCGACTAGATTCGTCCGTCCGAAGAGATGCAGATACCCAGGTAAGAACCCTTCTCTACATGCCCATATTGACTATCCCGGTAAGATGGAACAACCCAATCGCATAGGGCATTTCACACTTGATTCTTGATTCGCAATAACTAAGACAAACTCGCATGGGTTTGTGCGAGAATACTTTAAATAACTATGAAGAGCGGACATTTTTTTGATTGTTTACAAAAAGCGATCGCATAGACTTGAACGAAAGTAAACACAAACGTATCTCCGTTGTTCAGTTCAGTTCTTACAACCGTTAACCATGCACTTTCGTGCGCCATTTTGGTTGCGCATTTGAATGAAAAAGCAGAATGAAGATTAGTATATTTTGATGGTGAATTCAAGTGTAAGACAGAAAATATCTTTAGACTGATGTTGTGAGAATAATCGTTACATGCATGAGCGCCACTATTTAAGACACCCAGCCATACCACTCACCGTCAATAACCATCGGTGACCATGATCTCTGGGTCCCCAGTCAGGGACCCTTACGGGACCTATGTGAGCAAGCAACCCGGTTAGAGCTTTCATACCATCATGCCAGATCTTAGCTTGACAGCAGTTGATGGTTTACCAACTGCTATCACCCTCGATGAATATCGCGCAAGGAGCGCTTGATAGATTAACAAGTGCAGTGGCCACATTCGCTATGCGCTTTGCACCTTCAAAGTGAAAAGTAATGCTGCAGTACTGGGTTTCGTCTACTCCCACTCTGACACTAAATGGCCAGGATTTAGTTGTGGTGGATAACTTTCCCTACTTAGGTAGTTGCGTGAGCAATGACGGTAGTGTAGCAAAGGAGATAATCGCCCGCATTTCCAAGGCCCGAGCAGCATACGCAGGACTGAAACATTTTTGGCGTAGACGCGACGTTTCACTGAAGTTGAAAGGTCGTGTATATTGTGCTAGCGTTCGTTCAGTCCTGCTTTATCGTTATGAGACCCTGAATTTACGAGTAGAAGATATCCGTCAACTAGAAGTTTTCGATCATCGGTGTGGAGTGGAGCATGGAAGTGGAGACGAGGCATGAAGAAATGCACAGAGCCATTAGGTAGAGTAGGTGTCTCTTGCCTTCCAGGTTGGGGTCCGAAAGACTCCACAACTGGTTGGTTGGAGACACTGAAGGATATGGCAGCAAACCGGCATCAGTGGCGTTCTTGTTGTCGTTTCTTATCAGGTCAGAATGCTTGAAACGTTATGTATGCGGAGTTCGATTGCGTTCCGTGTGTTGACCATAGTGGCTCATCTTCTTCTCCCTTCCTCAAAATAGATCCAATCCTTGTCCACCTTAAATTTTACCACTAACCTTGTATGCATTGTGAGTTTGGCACTATCAGCAAAGTTCGTTACACTGTATTTCGCAGTACGATGATGATGAACACTTGCCCAAGTGGACAACCGCGTTGACTTACAACTCCACGCCTAACCTCAGGATTGCCCGTCCGGTGACCCCACCAGACTCGTGCAATGCGATGTAGACAGCGGTGATCGAACACCGCCAGTCTATTTTTACTCCGTTTCCGTAGTGGCCAAGTCTCATCACCATAAAGCATGAACTCGACCCCTCATAGACAGCCGAATATCGCGACGGTACCACAAAAGTCCAACATTGACAAATGCAAATCAAGGCTTCTGTATGCGTCCCGACACTTCATCTATGACGCATCCGCCACGTGAGACATAGCTGCCCAGATAGAAAAATTGGTCTATTTACTATACTACTTCGTCAGTCAGGATGAGACTGGGTGCTGGAGCAACCCATCCTTGTATTATTATTTTGCACTTTGAAAGTGCAAAACACATACCAAACACAGATACACTATCCAGAGTAGCTTGCTACTAGCCTCACTTAGTAGCACAATGTCGTCTGCATAATCCAGATCAGACAGTCTACCACCCGGGAACATAATGGTACCGCTATCCTCGCACAAGGATTGAACTGTTTCAAGAATTAAATCTATTGATTCGAGCGGGCTATCATTGAGATTTTACCTTCACACAATTCCCAGTTGATCGATTCAACCATACACTCGGAAGCACAAGATTCTAATTTCTCTCCTATTGGAGCTCATCAGTAACGCACATTCACCGTCTCACTCGAGCTTGGAACTTCAGACCCCTCACATGAAACGCGTATCCGTTATAACGAAGCGAACTTCAATGACCGCTGCCAAACTCGTAATGCATACAAGGTTAGTGGTAAAATTTAAGGTGGACAAGG